CGCTGCCACTTCCGTCGCCTCCTTTCCGATTCTGCATCGATCCCTCGCGTTGACTCGCTTGCACTTGCTGTCGATACGGCACTTGCTGCTGGTTCTTCGGCTGTTGGATGTTGGACTGCGAGCGTTGCTGCTCTTGAACACACTTCTGAGCTGCTCGATGATTCTGATCTTGGTAATTCTGCTGCGACGGATTTATTTTTGATTGCGCTACTGGGTCGACTCGGTTTGGCGATAGGCTCGTACGATCGTCGCGCGGAGGTTCGATCGTTGTTGGAATGGGAGTGCTTGTCGTCGCGATCGTTGTCATGGTTGTTACCGGCATGATCGACGACGACGAGCAAGCGTTTGCTTGTTGACTGTTGCTCGCTGATTTCTCGCCGATCAACCAGTACGTGGTCATCGTACCTTTACCCTGGAATTAGAAAAGCAGATATGCCATTTCTTAGTGTCTTTTCTTTTTTTTTTTTTTTTGAGGATAGTTGAGAGACTTACCTTTAGAGTAACCTCGCCTCTACAAACGAGTTCGAACGTTCCAAAAGTGTCCAGAATTTCTTTCGTCTTCGGGCTGACATGGATCCTCAGAGCTGCAAGTAGATAGTTTAAGCGTGTTATTATTGTTTGCACTGTCGTCGTATCGTGTTATTAACTCGAACAAGCATCGAATTACTGTACCCAGTGGCCGAGAATTCAGCCACTTTGAATCGTTCATATTGTTAATTTCGAACTGAAGACTCGCGACTCATTCGGCTACTGAGAACAGTTCTCGTAACAGAAAAATTCATCTCGCGAGGAGGAAAAAAGATCGGCGTCAAATACCTTCTCCGTTACTCTCCATTCTAGATGCAGTATTGACGGTGTCTCCGAATAAGCAATATCTAGGCATCTTCAAACCAACTACACCAGCCACGCAAGGTCCTGAAATTGCGACTAGTCTTTCGTATCTACGAAAGTGTAATATGCAAGTTGCGGCAACACACACAAGTTACAAGAAAGCCGTAACATATATCGTAACGGTTTATCGATACTAATTAATCGTAC